ATTAAAATAAATATTAAATATATTTTATATATTTTGAGATATTAAAAAATTAAAAAACTACACTATAAAACGAAGTCTTAGTTATCAAAAAAATTTAATAGGGAAGGGAGGATAAAAACTCATTTTATTTTTTTAATTGAAATTTTTTAATTGTTAAATGTTAATTTTGGTCCCTCAACTTTAATGTTTTATATAATTTTTATCCTCAACTTTTTTATACACTTTTTTTGTTTCTTCATTATGAAAAATGTTTTTTTTTTATCCTTTTGTCAGTTAATTCGTTAAGTATATCAGAATTTACACATTTTTAATCCTCAATTTCTAATATATACATATTTTTTGTCTCTTAACTTTAAAATATGTATATTTAGACAAATTTAATAAACTAACTAATAGAAAAAAAATACATTTTTATCTTCAAGGGCCCAAAAAAGTGTATAAAAAATTTAAAAAATAAAAATTACGTAAAATTTTAAAGTTAAGAGGCTAAATTTGACATTTATCCTTCTTTAATTTATCCTAAGCATACCTAAAATCTCAGTCCAGCAAACCATTGGGTACATTTTCTCCCTTTTATCTTCCGTTCTACTTGTTTATTTTTGGCAAAACCTTACATATAGTCCCTAAGCTTATCTCAAATTCCTAAGAAAGCTTATAAAATTTTATTGAAACAATAAGTCCTTAAATTTGACTATTTAAATAATTTAATCCTTTTTACACGCATTTATACCTTGTGTAGGTAAAACCAATACTTACCAGTGGTCAATGATATATCACTACTTTGTTAATGTAAATAAAGTATAAATGACATTAAATTTATTATAAAAAAATAATTAAATTATTTCAGATTACTAAGTTTAAAATTTACTTATTTTAATAAAAATTTAAAACTTAATAAAGAATCTAAACTAAATTTGAGAACTTAATATAGAATTTTATCTTTATTTTTCCACTTCTGCTGGCTATGCTATTGAAGGTTGAAACTACAAGCTTGTAATAATATCATTTTCGAATAGAATAAGGTAATTCTAGATATTTTTTTAACATTTAAGTATAATATATAACGAAAAAGATTTACCAATTTAATGACTCAACAATTTAATATAAATTTTATTTACTATAACAAAAGTTCGATCCCTGTTTCCTACCCCCTTCCCAAATCATTTGCCTTAATAAAAAAAAAAATGCAGTATGTAATAAAAATTCTGATGAGTAACAGTAAATAAAAGAGTAAAAAGTAAAAACCCCATGTTCAAAAAAAATAAAAATAAAAAAAGAGTAAAGACCCAAAACCCAGAGCTACAATGCACAAATGACCAGAGCCAAGAGCCTGAGCTCTCTCTTCCGAGCCGCCGCCAAAGGTGCCGGTGGCGGCGACTTACCACTCGTGGACTTCATTTCCTCTCTCAACGCCGCAGCTCCTCCGTCCTCCACCTCCACAAAACGCTCGTTGAAGCCCCCCAAACCCGCCAAGAAACGCCTTGGCGATGTCGAACCCTTCAACTTGTTATTGGACCGATCTTCACCGCCCGGTATGCTTTAATTATTTCTTACATCACTAAATTCCAATCCTTTTTCTTTGGAAATTTTCTTTTTGCAGTTGATTGAGTTTTTCTTTCGAACGTTTGGGTTTGCAGAGGTCTCCTCAACCCAATTAAGGCAGCAGATAACTTCCATACTCGATGGTATGTGTTTATAAATAAAAAAAAAAAATTGTAGTATTTGAATCAAAATGGTATCTTTTTTACCATCTAGAATTTTGGGTTAGTTAATTAATTGCGGGTTGTTCTTGTTCTCTTCTTGTTCAGATAGAACATCATCAGATGTTTCACCTGAATCAGAAGGGACCAGCAATGATAATTATTCTGGATCATTGGATATACAGTGGCTTTCAGAGCTGATGTCTAACGCTAATGTACCAATAAAGCGGAAGGAAACTTCCCGTGGAAAGAAACAGAAATGGGTTTTTAAGAATGGTCAGGTTCCTCAATCTAAACAGTTAATTAAATTGTGTGGAGAGAAACTGGGGACAGAAGCTACTCTTCAGTTCTTTGGCCAATTGGGAAGAGAAACTGGGGTGAAAGAGTACAATGCACTTATAGCCATGTGCATAGATAAGGCCAGGACAACTGATTGTGAAGAGGTTGCATTGGTGGAAATGTCCAAAGTTTACAGACATTTTAAGGAAATGAGGAAGCGCAGATTTCAGATAGATGAAGTAATTTATGGTCAATTGCTTATGTTTTTCATTGACAGGGGAATGGTAGAAGAGTTCCACTTTTTCTGTGGACCTATCAAAGATGGGAATTGTAATTCTATTCCAAGATTAGGTTATTATGAGATGCTGCTCTGGATATCAGTCAATAACGAAGAAATGATTAGGAAACTTTGTGATTACATTGCAGCTGATGATAATGAAGATAATCTTCAGTTAAAAGGTTTGATGCTAATTGATTATATAATTGTTTTATTATCTTTAGTTATTTCTTTTCAATTATGGTTTTTTTTTGTTTTTTTGGTGGAAAATAATTCATGTTATGCAATCTAATAGTTATAGACACTGTTAACCTTTGCTGATGGCTTACAGATATCTTATTCATGGTGCAGAAAACTATTTGTTAGGACTTTGTGAAAGTCAACGAACAGATGACTATTTGCGAGTATTGGAGGTCATTGATATAACAAAAATTTCTGATAAGCATGCAGCAACTGTGTTTAAATCGCTGGGGAGGCTGTCATTGGAGTCCTTCACTGAGAAGTTCCTCTTGGCATTCAAAACCCTTGGTAGGATCACGATGTGTGCATTTTTTTGATGTGGAGATTCCTATTTCTGTCTGGTGGAATTACTTGTGGCAACTGGCCACAGATTATTCTGAATAAAAATTTCTATTTGGAAAAAATATATCTTTTCTTAAAAAGTTTCTGCAGATGATACTGTTTTAAAACATTTTATGAATTTGACTTGAGGATTTAGCAAGTAGGACGCATTTAGTTTAATGGTGATGTCCTGAGGGTATCTGGTGCATGTGCAATTATCCTGTGCTTTTTAATTTTCTTACAAAAAGTATGCATAATCTTTTCAAGTGTAGGTTTGTAACTATAGTTCTTTGTTGGGACATCTAATGGTGTAAGATTATTAAGTTGACTAAATATGTGTTATGTCAGTTGGATGTTTGTAATATGTTTATCACACTAAATGCAGATCATGGAGAAGAGAAAATTTCGAGACTCATCTTTAGTTATGCTTCTTGCATTCCAAATATAGTGGTGAGGAATCTCTCATGATGCTGCTGGTAATTACCTTGAGTCCATGTTTTCATGGAGCACCTACATTCCACCATGTAGTTTTCAGTATCTTGATAATGTTTCTGATGTAATTTCTATAAATTTTTGGAAGTTGTCCATTTTGGTTGGCAACAAATTGGCGATTAAACCATAATTTGATTTGATTTTTTGAGTAGAATTAACAATGATACTAGTTCACTTAAGTGACAATTAGTGATCAGCAGAAATTTCTGGAAGATTTTAATTACATTTGGAGAATGAATTTTGCTTTTCCTTATTTTCTTCCTCTCTCCCTCTCTCTCTATTTTTATTCTTCCTTTTTATGGCTGGCTGTGATGGGAGGGGAGTGGGTACTAGGACATTCTTATTTATGCAATCATCTAAAGGCCTTTTTTATCCTTGGAGTTAAAATTATAGATCCTTGTCAATGTCAATGAGTTTTTCATGGTACTTCTTGAAAAGGTCTTGCTGGTGAGGAATTATGATTTTTGTTTAATTGCATATATAGTTTCCGTGAGAATGACCAATTCGAAGCACCTATGATAGATTTTAGTTCTTATCCTCTAAAGTGCTCTGTTTCCACATATATATACACACACACACATATATATATGACTTGAAAGATGTGAAATTTTGACATTGATGAGGCACTGGCCCCATGTAATTATTATGAATGTCTTGCAAGTGCTATGATGCATTGGTACATAAATGCTTGTAAGAGATTTGGATCTAGCTTAAAATGATAATTGCTTTAGATTGCAACAAGTTTGCTGCTTGTCTATAAGAGAGTGATTTTGTCTCTCATTTTTTT